GGTTGGGGGGGGGGGGGCGCATGCAGTGTAGTTCAGCAGGGGAGAACTGGGCAGGGCTGACCACGCTTGGGATTTCAGTGTAGCAGAGGCAGCGTTGTCATCTCAAACAGGAAGTTAGGGACGCACTGGATATCTGACAGATTAAAGGGCATTAGAAGTCCACAGACTGGAGAAACACACATAGTGGTCGCGGTTGAACTAAAATTTGGGAACATTATATAAAATACATGTCAAGATCGATATGCGTATGCAACATCCAATAACAAAATAGAAAAAATAAAATGTGTTCCATAAAATACCAAAACATTTAAAATATGGATGGATTCTGCAAGAGAACGTCATCCTCACGCGTAGGAAAGGCTTTTGTTTTTCCAGCAGCTTTGGGAACGGGATCAGGAACGGAAAACAAAACCTGGAGAAAGAAAGAACTCCTGCAGCGGGAAACGGCAAAGTCACATACTTGCTGCAATATTTCAGGAGCTTGTCACAGTCTTGAAGCAAAGTCCCTGTTGCCCCATTTGATCGGCTGCCAAGACGTTGACCGTAGAATGGCCGGGACAGGAAACGGTGTTCGGTGCGTGCGCAGCATTCCTTACCCCTTCTTTAGGGCCCGGCCAACAAACAATCCTTTCTTCTACGGCACGGCCAGGAAAAATGTCAGAAATTTCCTTGTAGAGGAGAAACTCAGCCCCGAAAAACAAGGATGACCATGTCCCACCACCACCACCACATGGTTAAATCTCTGCACATGACACCTGAACTTATAAGGTTTTTGGGGATAGATTGAGAACAATACTGAGAACAGCAGCAAATGAAATCAATTTCCATACGAGAGTCGAGAAAGGATAAGACGCTGCAAACATGCCGAACCATGAGCCTCAGCGCCAGCAAAACATGTAAAGAAGCGACAAGGGCCATTGGAGCGTGGTTGCCTGCTTATCATGCTGGGCTTCACAACCCTCCATAAGAAGCACGCGGATCAGTAGTTATTATTATTATATCGGATTTATAGAGCGCCCACAGTTTGCGCAGCGCTTTACTATATAAGGAAGACATTACAATCACAATACAATTTAAGTCAAGATGGTAAGGAGGGCCCCGCCTATAGGCACTCCAGTGATGGCTGCAGCCACTTCCTGTCTACAGGCACTCCAGTGATGGCTGCACCCACTTCCTGTCTACAGGCTCTCCAGTGATGGCTGCAGCTACTTCCTGTCTACAGGCACCCCAGTGATGGCTGCAGCCACTTCCTGTCTACAGGCACCCCAGTGATGGCTGCAGCCACTTCCTGTCTACAAGCACTCCAGTGATGGCTGCAGCCACTTCCTGTCTACAGGCACCCCAGTGATGGCTGCAGCCACTTCCTGTCTACAGGCTCTCCAGTGATGGCTGCATGGTATTTCTCAGGTTAGAATTTCTTAGAGTGACAAAAAGTGGACCAGCGCAATGTTGGTTGACACGAACACGTGTAACCTACTTTATAACCAGTGACAACTTGGAGCCAGGGGCAAAGCATAAACCACCCAACAACAGGAAGTGACCTTCATGGCAGGATCACTAAGTTTTATTTTTATGAAAGCTGCAGATTTAAGAAAACAAACAAAAAATGCATCTACATATTAAAGCATCTATTTTACCAAAAACTGGAGCAAAAGAGAACCGACAACTCCCAGCTGGGGCTATCAGAAAAGAATGGCTTAAAATAGGCTATGGCATCCTTCATGAAGCGTAGGCCGGAGTCTAATGTGATACGAGCAGCCAGAAACCCAATACCAGCGATTTGGAAAAGGCCAGGATCTTGGCTCTAGTGTCAGCGCTAGTGAAGAAAATTACCTAAAAGCTCATCCTCTCAGGGAAGCCTATCCCCCCTCAACCTAACCACTGAACCTTCACATTCTCACATAATTCCTTCCCACAGCTCCCTCCTCATGTATCATTTCCCCCTCCTCTTTTAGATTGTAAGCCCTCAGGGGCAGGGCCCTCCTTACCATCTTGTCTTGAATTGTATTGTAACTGTAATGTCTTCCTATTAGAATTTCTTAGAGTGACAAAAAGTGGACCAGCGCAATGTTGGTTGACACGAACACGTGTAACCTACTTTATAACCAGTGACAACTTGGAGCCAGGGGCAAAGCATAAACCACCCAACAACAGGAAGTGACCTTCATGGCAGGATCACTAAGTTTTATTTTTATGAAAGCTGCAGATTTAAGAAAACAAACAAAAAATGCATCT